CGAGGAAAGAGGTGGAACGGAAAAGTCAGAAGACTTGGAGGAAGTGGCCATTTCAGTAGTGAGTAGGATGAAGAAAAGCAACGGAAAAGATGAAGGTATAGAGATGAAAGCAAGAGCTCAAGGAAGACGATGAAAGTACAGACTTAGGGTAAAAGTTCGCATAAAAACCAGAACAAAGACCAAGAGAAAGGTTAAAAGAGAAAATCTCCTAGGGAGCTGGAACGACAGATACGAAAAGTAATGAATATAATGTACTGTAAAAGCAACAGACTGATATGATAGCGACGTAAAACGGAAAGGGAAACCTAAAACCCTTTTAACCCTAGAACCCCAGTAAACCCTAAACCCTAAAGTTCTATGGGCCTCCGAACACTTAGGCGGAAATGTTGAAAGAATATAAATAAACTATTCATATTCTTCCAAGGGGGCATTTTGTTAGTGTGGAATCGAGAAGCTCGATCGAGAAATGAATCGAAAGGGAACTTTCCTGATGTCCGATTATAAAGAACGTGACACATAAAATCGAAAGGTAAAATCGGAAGAGAAGGTGTAATAGTCGAAAGCTTAACATGGAGTTAAAGTTAAAATAAATCGATACCAAGGATGCAAAGTTCTCGATTAAATCAAAGGGAAGGCTCGTTTTCGTAGATATCATAACCTCGGTTAAACCTTGAAGGAAAATAGTCAAAACGCACGCATGGAAAGCAGTTTCTAAGTTATGGAAGAGCCAAAAATCATGGGAACGTGGGGAAACAATAGAAGAAAAACTGCCATACGCACGTAGAACGTGGTAACAGTCGTGTTAACTGTTCTTGGAAGGCTTGAAAGATGCCCTATAAATAGAGCAAAGAAGGAAGGAACGGGGGAAATTGGCAGAGAACAGAATCGAGTAGTGAAAAGTCTACCGGAGAAACGACGAACACCATGAAGTTTCTGGCAATCTGGATTTCCTTGCTCACTGAGTACATTTATCGCTTTCTATATTTTCCTTGGTAATTTACTTTCGAGCCATTTCAATTCAGCAATTTCATATTCTTGTAGATTACATTCAATGACATTTCGATTTCCTGTTATTTACTTTCTGTGCAATTTTAATGGGTTTTAGCGATTTACATTTTCCGCACATTTCGATTTCCTGTTATTTACTTTCTGTGCAATTTTAATGGGTTTTAGCAATTTACATTTTCCGCACATTTCGATTTCCTGTTATTTACTTTCTGTGCAATTTTAATGGGTTTTAGCAATTTACATTTTCCGCACATTTCGATTTCCTGTTATTTACTTTCTGTGCAATTTTAATGGGTTTTAGCAATTTACATTTCCCGCACATTTCGATTTCCTGTCCTTTATTTATCTCGCAAACTTAATTTCTTGCAAATTCGGGTTTTCGCACTTTCTTGCAATTTAATATTCTCTTTGCTCGATTCGATACTTTACTCGTTTTGTTTGAGTCAAGCATTTTAGACATAAAATACCAAAAACCACATTTTCGATATCCTGTAGTTTTCAATTCTCATACGCGTTTTCGATTGAAAATCAAATTGCTAGCCTAAGTAAAAAGAACTTACGTGGTAGAATTTTGATTAGGACCAAAACACCCTTAGAATCGAAATCGATCGAAATTCCACCAGAAACACATATTTAATCTTTTTTTATAAACTTTGTAATAAAAATTAATTCTTGAAGGTTGCTAGTTTAGTACTGTTTAAGTTTTTGTTGAATTTTTACTTTTTTAATATACCATTAGCGTTCTAATATTTTTTAATTTGTATGTCAAAAAAAATTTGTATATCAGATCTAATTGATTTTTAAGAAATTTAAAATTATTTTAAAATAAATTTTTAATAATATCTAATATTTAAAAAATAATTACTTTATCTTAAATTTTTTTCAGCTCTTTGTTAAATTTTTAAATGAAGATATTTTGATAATTTTTTATTTTTTTAAATTATAATATTTTAATTTTGTTTTAATTTAAATAATTTAACTTTCTGCTTTATTTAGTTCTTTATAATTCTTTCTGTCAATTAGCTTTTTAACTAAAATAAAGGATAAAAATGATGAATTACATACTTGTTTGATTTAATTTAATTTAATTTTTTTAGTTTTTAAAAACAATTTTATACATCTTAATAAATTTATTTTTGAGAACTATTTTTTCATTATTCATTAATATTATATTTTGGAGTAAATTTTTGTGACCCACTCTTCAACTACTCCTTCACCAAACTTCACCCTAGAATCTGTGCTGAATTAGTCGACAAAGCATACGTTCATTTTTTATTTGTGACCCACTCTTTAACAATATATAAAATTTAAAAAAATATTTAATTTGTATGTAATTATCTTTCATTTTTAATTCTTTTTTTTTTTGTTAAATGTTATTTAAAGGTATTTTGATAACATATTGAATTACTTAATATAATTTTATTATTTTTTAAGTTAGCTTAACGTTTCCCACGTTTTGTTTTTTGCGACTGACATCTGGCATGCACGTCTCTTTCCTATACCTACCAACGCTACGCATGGTTTAGCAGTTATGATCATTATTCATTACTATTATATGTTAGAGCAATTTAAACAAAAATTCAAGAGAGAAAAATAAAGAGAAAATTATATTCCAACACTTAGAATTTTAGAAAATGAATCTTAATTTATTAATTTTAACATTTTAAAACCTATTTATTTTATAATAAAGGTACTTAATAGGTAATAAGACTCGTAATAATCCAATTACGTCAAATAAATCTTGAATTGCACTTATGCTTAATTGAGATTCTTTGACATATTTCCTCAACGATTTATTTTATTCGTCCAAAACATTGACAGCTAAATTCGTTAATCACAGAGGATACTTTGACTCCACAAATTATTTAATCGCGAAACAAATTATTAAAATCTAAAATGAGTTCTATGACAATAATTTACTGAACAAAGTTTTTCTATAATGAATAAATTCTTCAAAATAAATCTTCATTTTTTTTAATTTATAATTTTTATAAAATTAAACAAATAATTAAACACAATATATAATTTAGACTATAATTTAAATATAAAAATATTTATTTTTTATAAAAAAAATTATATTAATAATGAATAATTAAATAAATATATTAATTATATAAAAAATATATTAATAAGATGTATTTGTCATCTAATAACATGTAATAAGTAATAAATGAATTTCTCTCTTCTAAGTTCCCGTTTGTCATATATAATATCAACAATTATTAACATAGTTAGCGTATAATATAATATAATATAATATAATATAATATAATATAATATAATATCTTTTATGTTATCTTATATTATTTATATTCATCATATTTTTTTATTTTTTAAATTAATTATTTTATTGACTTCCAAATTTCAAAGTTTAAAAACAGGAACTTAAAGTTAATTATAGTTTTCCTCTACTATATTGGTTTGATTTAAAAAAAAAAAAACTAATTTGACATTTGTACGGTTTGGTGATCAGTTTGTAGTCTTTAGTGATTGGTTACATGCCTTATTTTTAGTTATAGTTTATAGAAGATTTTCGTATCTTGAATAATGGATGAATTATCTCTTAAGACCTATATCTTAAGGATATATTTTTATCGGGTTGATAAAAACCGGTAAGAGCGAGTATATCCTTTTATATATTATTTTGTAATTTTTTTTAAAAGTAAAGATTCATATGTAAAAAATTATCCTATACTTAATTTATTTTTTAGGATAAAAGAATAATGTGTTTTAAGAATGAGTGATAAAATAAGATTTATTTTTTCGTTGGGTCTTCTGTAAGATATAAAAGATAATAATAATTCAAAAAATAATAATTGATATTATATAAAATAATAACATATTAAATATAAATAATAAAATAGTAGGTAATGTATAAATATATAAATAAATATTTTATTTTTAATATTTAGTGGATATGGACTGAGTACACAAATTTGAAAGATCAAACTCTTTTAAAAAGATTAAAGTTGAACGAATTCATCGTTAGGTTAGGGAGTTAGGAGGTTAAACTCTTTCAGAGATTTAAGCTTAATATATCTACGTTTTTTTAATTATTTTATTCGGACAACATTGTATTTTTGTATGTGACTAATATTTTAATTATGATGATTTACATTACGTCGATTTTGTATACCTTCTAGACAACTTTTTTTGAATAATTAGATTTTCTTAAGATTTTTTTAATTCTTTGCATATTGATAAAAATATTCTTCTTCCTCCCATCAAGAATGATGTCTGAGAATTTTATACCATCAACATTTAAGTATTAACCAAAATTCTTCCAAAAGTTTCGAGAGAAACTTGATACTTACTCCTCCAATGTTCATTATTAAAAGAATAAGAGAAAAAAAATCTCCAAAAAATACTTAAAAATAAGTGAAATTCGGGGTACAAACAATTATGAAGTTCTACACCCAAGTTTTAAGTTCATTTAAATGCGCAAAGAAAACTACACAAAGAGTCATGCAGTGAAGACTATGCAATGAATTTTCTAACTTAAGTCTCACCTAATCCACTTTTAATTATATTTATAAGTTCATATATCAAAAAATTCTCAAATGTTTCAATAAAAGTTAAAAGTATGACTTCTTTGAGTGTTTGAAGTAATTTCATCCAATTTGACGACTAAAATTTATGTATTCCTTCTTTTTTTTTTTTTAAGAAGAGTATCTTCAAATCTCATCTCATCTAAATTGGACTTGCTTGGAATGTTTATATACATAGAACATTTGTAAAGTTCGAACCAAAAATAAAAATTGGATTTCTAAATTGTATTTGACCGAAATTAAGCTAGGGAAAAAAAGTTTGGTCGATAGATAGAATACTTTGGGTCAAGATGCATATGTAATGAAGTAATTGAAAATGAAGAACGAGGCTTACATATTTTAATAGATATATTCCTCGAATTATTTTATTTAGTCATGCGAGACATTATTACAACTGATATTCATCAGTGCTTACATATTACACTTTTCTCAGGTTACGAGAAACTACACATGACTTTTGAGGGACACTAGTGGTTCATGCGCAGTTGCAGATGATGCAGATGCAAGTCTCTCGAACTGAATCCATAAGCGGTTCTCCTCACTCTGTGTCACAACGAAACGCCTATGTCCATCGGTATCCTGCTCAATCGCGACGTACAAACATGGAATATTTTGAGGACAGAATAAGAGGTTGTAGCCCCCAATGGCAGCAGAAACGCTCTTAATTTTAAACCAACCAGGTATAGGGTCGTTATACCCAGTAATTTTAACAGAGAGCCCCTTTCCTTCTTCACCCTGCACAACAGTCCAGAATGAAGGAGCGGGAGCACATAGGGGTATATAAGTGAACTCAATGTACAAGATAAGGCCTTCGTAAATATGCTCGATTTTGAATAGGGACGAAATTTTTACTGGTTGGCCGTTAGAGAAGGGAGAGGGACTTTGGACAACAGTTAAAGGGCAAGTTTCGTTTCCGGTTGCGGCAAGTTCTGCTCCACCACCGTTTCCAGTTGTTATGACTGGCCTCAGAAAATATACGCCACCATTTCGCAAAGGATTACCAGCAGTGTCCAACACAAATTCAGCTGTGGCTGAAGAAAAGTAGGAGGTGAAGGCACAAAGTAGAAAGAAAGGCAACAAGCTCATAATCTTCATTTCTTTAGGTGGCTCTGGAAGGCTTATATTCTTCAGTTTGTGTGAACAAGCACCGTTCCAAAGATCTATTTATAGATGTGCTGGCGATAAAGTTAATATTTGATAAAAAAAAATTAAAAGATTTTTTACATCCATTAATTATATAAATCAAAGCCAAATAAACAAAAATGCAAATGACGGCCGAATAATATAATATAAAAAAAATGTTTGTTATTATTTCATCACAACTATATGAAATATTTTATATAACAATCCTCTCTCTCTACATATTTCATCTGTAATTACAAGAACACAATATTAAATTTCAGTTTAAAGTATATCTTGTTGTGTGAAAGGGTACAAATTTTGTTGCTAATCAAAGGGTACAAATTTTGTTGCGAATCATCCATCCATTGATATTTGACATTTTTTTTAAAAGAAATTCTCCCCATGAGCATTACTATGTTTCATGGCATCTCAACTACTACGTTAACACATCATAAAAATATTCTTTATTTACTTCATACAAAAAAAACCATATATATTCAACAAAATAATAATAAACAAAAAATAATATAAAAATTATCGGGACCAAACTAATATCCGCACATTTTTTTCTTCACTAAAAAAAATCTATAATTATCAATACAATTTAAATAATTAATATTTTTTAATTAAACATAAAATATTTTAAATAATAAAAAATATAGAATTTAACTAAAATAAACTAGTATAATGATTATTAGAATTAGTAATATTGTATTATTATTATTATTATTATTAATTATTGGATAATTATATTTATTATAATAATTATATAGAATTAGTAAAATTTATATTATTGATAAATTTTTTTAATTATAGTTAAATAATTTCAAATAATTAAAAAACATAAAATCTAAAATCATTTGATAATATTAAGAAAAGTAAAAAAATTATATATATATATATATATATATATATTTATAAATCACCTTATTATCTTAATTGAAATTAGTCTTATCAATAATATTAATTTTATTAAAAATTTTAATCAATTTATTTAATTGGTTAACTTAATATGAAGAAAATTATATGGGGATTATATTTAATAATTTGTTAAAAAAATATTATTTTAATAATTAATTTTCTCAAATTTCTCTTTACTAAAATACTGTTAAAACTAATTATTTTAAAAAATTATAAATTACTTTTATTTCTTTACAAAGTATAAATTTATTTTAATATAATTACCAATAAAAATTTTATCGACAAATTTTTGTCTATTGAAAATCCGTTGGTAATCACCATTTTTAAATTGATTTCTAACATTATTGATAGATTTGGTTCATTAGTAATATATTTTTTTCTTGGAGTGTTTTTTTTAATGTGAGATATATGAACATGAATAGAATTGCAAAAAATGGTAATTTTCCTTCGTGATCAAGGAACCACCTCCGAATCATTACAAGTTTTTACAGTAGTAGAATGTGTTTAAATCCAAAACTTATTTCAACTCTTGATAAGCAATTTCTAAGCATAATATACCAACACTATGACCTGCATAAAGGGCATAATGGATTCCTAAGTAGGCAAAAAAATCTACCTATATACTCACATTTACACCCTCTAAATATACCAACAACCCCAAGGAAATCCTTTAACAACATAATATTACATTTAACCATAAAACATTAAGTAATTTCCATTTGCACAATTAAAATTTTCTCAGTCCTAGGAAAATGATTTTCAATTTAAAAATACTTTAATATGAGTAAGTCCTACAAATTATTATGCATATGCATAATCCTTTAAAAAATTCGCCCATGATAACAACATTGATTTTGACCTTATTAATAACAACGGTATAAGCTATAAAAAACGATGTCGCTCAGTGATGATTAACTAGAAACTGTCATTGAAAGATACACCATGATAATTTTAAAATTAATTTGAAATTTTTAATGAAGGATCATATATAACAGTTGTCATATATCACATACGATGATAGTTACTGTTCTGGAATAAGAGAGATATCCTTTAGGTTTTTCTCCCTCCCCCTTTTATCTTTTCATCTCCATTAGCCCTTAGTTTGTTTTTATTGTTTCTGGCATTATCGGCCCCGATAATGCCTTATTCCCAACTACCTCTATATCTCGGGCTCATTAGGTAATGATTAACTCCATCTTCCTCTATAGACTTATTTAACCCACTTTACTAATACTTAGATTTGGGCTCCACTGGACCCAATCTCTATTCACGCACCACAACCCCCTAGTCTTTAATTATAAAGATATTCTAATGCAAAGACTAAAATCGAAATAAATGTCCCACACATTTCATCCCTTAAAAATAAATGATCTTAACTATAACTGAATGTCATCCCTGAAGTATCCAATATTGGACATTTTTGTACATTGTGACCTTTACCTTCTTGACCAAGCCCCAAACATTTCAACTTTTTCTATATGTTAATCCATTCGGTCCCAAATTTTCAAACGCTTCATCTTTTCCAAAAAAGCAAATGTCATATCACCTGACACGTTACATCCTACACTTTAAAATTCGTGCCTAAGCGGTTTACTTTGCGCTTTTATTCATTACGCTTTACTTCCTCCCAAAACGTTTCATTTCCCTCTTCTCTTCATCTCTTTGCACCGCACAACTTCAACCATTTATGCTTCTGTTCGTATTCTGAACTTACTCTAGACTTTTTAGGTATCGCTTCCCATTTCTCTCTTTGTTGTTCTGTCTTTCATTTGATATTGCGTAATACTGCTTTATTCGTTGTTCGCCTTCATTTCCTGTGCTCGTGCTTCTTCTGTTTCTCTCTATTCCTCTGTGACGTGATTGTTGTGCTATTGTTCTATTTCTATTCTGTGAACATTTATCGTTTACCCATACTATTAATGTCACATTCTTCTTCCCATCCCCCTAGTGCGAGCTCTAGCAGCTTGGATAACAAATCCTTGTACCCTTGGGCCAAATATGATATCCTAAATGAGTTTACCATTTACTCTAGCAGCAGAAACTCAAACAGTTTAGGAATAATCATGGATTAAGCCGTTTTGGCGAAGAAAGTAATATTCTAGTAGAAGTCTGTGAGGTTAATGAACCCATCTGTAGAAACCAAGAATCAGACCCGAATCCTTTCTTTTTTATGTATGATACTCTTTTTATGAAGTTAGGAGTCCGCTTACCTTTTGATGATTTTAGCAAATCGGTTTTGACCACCCTCAATGTGGCCCCGGCCCAACTCCACCCTAATAGCTGGGCTTTTATCCGAGGATTTTCCATCCTATGTAAACATTTCGGTTTTGAACCGAATATCTATATGTTTTTATACTTCTTCGATTTTCGTCTTTCTAAACGAACCTCTTGGGCATCCGTTGGTAGTGTAGGGGGTCGAACACTTCTATCTTTGTTCCAATCATCTTACAAATATTTGAAAGGTAGATTTATAAAAATTCGTGCTCCCGAAACCCAGAAAACCCTGCTAGAGGAATTCCCCCTATATTGGACTGAACAACCATGTTGCCAAATACCACTTGATTTGGACGAGATCTCCCTCGAAGATGCCAAAATTTGCACATTACTCGATGAGTTACACACAATCTTCGATACCACCCAACTTCTTAAATTAGAGGGCAGACCAGTAGACTTAAAACTCTTTATAGGTATAATTTTCACCTCCCATTTTACTTTGATCCTATAAAGTATGTATTAAAGTCTGTAATAATGATTACTTCTCTGCAGAAAAACAAATGTATTTGTCCAAGAAAGCTCTTAACCGAAGGATTCGACTTTAGAAGGTAGAGAAAGTGAAGCTGATAACAAAAAGGTAAGTAGTTCAGGATCAAATCATGAGAAGGCACTAAAGAGGAAACGCGATGATACTAAATCAATTCCAGTCATCAAATTAGGAGAGGTTGTGACTAAAACCACTAGTCATCCTCAACCTCCAGCCGATTATCAAGGAGACAACTGGCTCGTAGGGTCCTTACCCCCTGACCGTGGAACTTTAAGTGATATGTCTTCCTTAGAGCTGACTTGTTTAAGCCAAGCCGTTGTAAACAAGACAATGACAATACTTGCAATACTAGAACAACGGGCTCGGGATAAAGAAGAGAAAGAAAAGAAAGTAGAAGAAAAGCTCAGTCAAACTCAAATCCAGATGCAGATTCTAAAAGATGAACTCAACAAATTACAGGATCAGTTCCGTCAGCTAGAGAAAGAGTGAGATGATGTTGTGGTTAACGAGAAAAAATATAAGGTCCTTTTGGAAAAAACAGAATACAAAGTTTGTGACCGTAACAAGAAAATAGAAGATCTAAACATTCAAATAAAAGGTCAGGCCCGACAGATTGAAGATTTATTTGATGAATGTGCTAAAATGTTTAAGTCAGGTTTTGATAATGCTTTGGAACAAGCTAAAGTCATCGTCCCAGATGTTGACTTCTCCCTAGTCGACCCTGTCAAAAAGTGTGGTAGATGGAATGATTGTTGAAGAAGAAGATGAAGATGAGGAGAATGAAGAATCAAGCACCTAATCTCTGACATGAAGTATTTTGTTTTTTGAAGGTGCCTATTTTGTAATTCAGAACGACTATTATCTTGTATCCACTACTTGAACAATATTTTTGTTTTATGAATGTTGTAGTCATCTTTATTCTTAGTCACTCTCGATGAACTTAAAAAGTTATTTTCGCTAAATGACGTCAATTAAAATTAACCCGTCTTCCCTAGTTAATGAATCACCCCTGATCAAGTTTAAATCTCTTTACAAAATAATAGCACATTTGGTACAATTTACGTTGATATAAATTTCGTATACAATTTGCACAGTGCACATTTTACACATTACAACTTGCATAGTGCACATTTCACACATAGCTCACATTTTGAGTCTAGGTCACATTCTGACCATAGTACGTATTTCGTACATAGTGCGTATTTCGCACATAGCTCGCGTTCGAATCTAGGTCACATTCTGACCATAACACGTATTTCGTACATAGTGCGCATTTCACACATATCTTGCG